AAAGAATAGACTATTCCAAGCTTTTACTTGTTGTTTAACAACTCTATTTATTAAATTATATACAAGCTGCCCAGTGTCAGCTAACAATATGAAGAATTAAACTGTGGCAAAATGCTACAAGTTTTTCAAATACCTATAGAATGATAGGTTTCTTTTTTTTTTGTGAGTGTAAAATACTTAAATACACCAGTTGGATTTTTGATACCTCACTACTATAAAGGCTTGGTTGGTCTGAAGTCTCATTGATGGTAGTGTCCAAAGCCACTGACGAGTGGAATTCAGTCTGGCTCACAGACACACCCACCAATGAAAGAATAGACTATTCCAAGCTTTTACTTTTTGTTAAGCAAATGTTTGAACTAACATTTATTCAACATAATCCCTTGTTTGAATGGCACTCTGTCAAGGTATGCACACTTTGACCCATAACGATACATCTAGAGTTAACATACTGCTTTCATTATGTAGCAACCATTTCTTCTTTAGCCACAAGCTCTTTCAAAATTGATAACTTGTACAACAAACTAAAACCAAACCATCAAAAGGCATAAAAGTTTCATGACTTACCCAAAACACATTAAGAATATGTTCCATTTAGACTAAGTGTTAGTTTTATTAACAATCCTACCTATAAAAATGCAAAGCATCTTGATACCCCATTGAAACCTTTATCTTATAAAATTAATAATTAAGAATGCAAAATATTTCTTTACCAGTAATAAAGACTTGATTACAGACCCATCTGTTTGAAGCAGTTCTGACACTATATTGTTATATACTGAGTACCAGTGACTGAAGGTATCTCAGTAATTTGCACTAAATAAGAAGCACCTGTGCCTTACCAAAGCAGCTTAGTTCTCTGTTCTGTTCAATAATGTCACTCTTCAAAACCTAACTACATTATCATCTACTGTCTATAAACCTCTTAACACTCTCATTATGGGCTAGTTCAAATCAGCCGAGTTTGTGACCCCAAATTAACCTTTATATTTTCCATACTATAGCTTCTAGTATGTTTTGTGTATCTTCACAAAATTATGCAAAATTTCAGTAAGCATTAAAAATCTTTTCTAGTAAAAAAAAAAACTCTGAATTTCTAATGGATT